TTATTGACAAAGATCTACCAACAATATAGTCCCGTTAACCCGTCGTTTATTTCTATCTCGAACGCCACGCGACCACTACTTATAAATAGCCTGTAATTATTTCAGCCATAGCACATCCTCAGCTGAATATGGCCTTCCCCAAAACTCATTTACTATTACTTAATAATACCAAATATCCAAAAACACTGTTACCTGTTACATACAACTACCAAATGGAGTTACATCACCTTTTCAATCTCCCTCTTGTCAGAAGCGCACTTGTCTAAAGCCTGGTCCGTGAGCACGTAGAATCCCGTCCAATGACCCCAAGCTGCCCATCCTTGTCGCTCGCGTAATTATGTTGCTGTCGCGCTCGCACACTCAAAGCGGGCGCGCGTCGCACAGTAGCGACAGCAATATAATTACGCGCGAGCGATAAGGATGGGTAGCTTGGGGTCATTGGACGGGATTCTACGTGCTCACGGACCAGGCTTTATCAAATTTCCCTTCCCAGCACCAATCAGTACAAATGAAATTCATCGGCAGTTGACCTCCGAGCTCCCTTAGCAGGGCTGGCGTGATGAGCGCTGACGAAAGCTTTCTCCTCTTTAAAGGCACCGTGCTGTCTGTATAAATTCCTAGACCAGGGGTTCTCAAACGTTTCTAAAGCCTGGTCCGTGAGCACGTAGAATTTTGGCCAATGACCCGACCCGATTTGGCGACTGTGCGACGGGCGCTTGCAGTGAGTGTGCGAGCGCGACAGCAATATAAATTACGCGCGAGCGATAAGGATGAGTAGCTTGGGGTCATTGGCCAAAATTCTACGTGCTCACGGACCAGGCTTTAGTCTTTAAAAGTAGTCAAGAGTTAGTCTTACGCCCGTATTCACAAACGATGCTTGCTTAAGTGAAGCAGCTAATCGAACGCCCAGCGTTGCACAGAGCTCTGTGATTGGTTCGTGTGTCACCCTGTGCTTCCACGCGCACTGTGAGACCTCATAGTAATGTTTTTTAATACGGGCGTTAGGCTCTTGGCCTAAGCCTTAAAGTAAACATAGTATCGAAATCGATATTTTTATACATTCCTAGATGAGGCGTTCTCAAACTTTTACCAATAGCTCCAGTCTTATAGCTAGTGACTATTTCAAAAATCTCGCTTCATCCATTTAATACAGGGACTTACTAGTGCAGTAAGTCCCTATGTTCACTCACAACTCACTGCAGCATGAAAATGTTCCTGGCCGTGAACTATCAAACTACATAGAATAAAATGACACGAAATAATTCCAACTCGTACAATAAGGGTCATGACTAGTTTCTAGGCATACTCGTATAACTTTTAAAATTACTAAGAAACAGCTATGTAGAGTCGAGGGTATACTATAAATTCTCCTTACAGACCTATTAATGTGGCATTAGAGTTTAAATAAACAAATACACCGTAAGTATGGAATAAGAAAAATAATGTCTGATATTTCATTGAAAAAGCTAACTTTACATAATATTTACAAGGGCAAATGTTGAGGTTTGAGGACCGCTGCCATAGACAATGAGGAGGCTTGGCTTGTCGTGATGGACGAAAGAGGTCAGCCACTTGATTTGGAATCTGGAGTTATCACTGCAAACAATCTGGCGTTCCAGTTTCAGACCAGCTTGCGAATGATTTGCGGACATATTTTGAAATATACCCTACAGTAATGACATCCCAATTTAATATTTCCCCGAGCCATGAAAATATTGATGGATGTCGTAAATGGAGTATAGGTCGCGCAGCGAAAGTTGAGACGAGCTTTTGCTCACACTGATGTAATATTTGAATACAGAACATACAAATCAGTCAAAATACGCAAGATTTCAGCGCGACAAGCGTATAGGTGTACCAGAATCTCATGGCAAATAGGGAAAATAAACTTTGTTGAGAGCAATACTGGGGAAATTGGAATAAACGATCTTGATACTGTTTAATTTTTTACTTTTATGACTTTAATATTAATGAACATGAAGTAAGTACGAATAAACATTTTAGGTAGGTATGTGTATGAAGAATGTTGTTATACATCAGGTTTTTAACATAGGAAATTGTCTTGGAATTTAAATAAATCGTATATTACTTTAAGTAACTAATTTTATTATGCATCATACTTTTAACTTATCACTTCATTCAGAACTAGAAAACGATTCTAAGAACTCCACTTGCATTTCTTGTTCTTCAATAGACAGATGATCAAAATAAAGAGGTATTGTAAATAAATTGCTCTTCCAGCATTTAAATGGAGAAGTTCCTGATGTTATAAACACTATATTTCTCTGAATGGGATTAAAATATATACCAAAACTAAAAAGACGGTGAAGTTTGTTTTTAAATCGATCAAGAAATGTCTGAGAAATAAATTATTTATATTACCTACATATTTTCGCGTGGAACTGAAACATAGGCGGGGCCATTCTTTTTGTATATGGCCAGGTCTGGGATATTTAAAAAAAAGGTTACAAAATTTTAGTAAGAAAGAATCTTGAGTGACCCTATCTGAAAAATTAAAAACTGCTAGATTTAAAAAAAATTAACCTGTTAACAGCACTGGCTGGATCAGAGGTGATTTACTGTTTGTACTCCGAATGAATGTCGTGAATAGTTATGCGCAGCTTTAGGGCCCTGTAACTTATTTATTTGTAGAGATATTTTCATGATTATTTCACAATTATTATTAGTTTTACTTATATTTATTTCAGGTTTATTTAAAAGAAAAAAATTGGAAACTTCTCATTATTCAATCTTGCTTGATGAAATCTTTTCAATTTTCTGTACATGGTCGTAATAACATCTGCACCAATTTGTGAGATATACCTGAAAACCCCGATAAAGCAGCTATTAAGTAAGAATAATATAAAAAAACACAACCCTCCTTCGGACGCAGTTGGGTAATAAACTAAATGTATCAAAACATTTCAGTCCAACTTACTGTCAACTCGACGGACGCGCTTTAGAATCAAAGATTGACTTTGAATTATGCCTTATTTTACAATTCACATTGAAAACAATATGCGTTGCCTCAACTTTTTCGACTTTTTCAGAAAAATAACAAATAGTCAAGAAGAGATTACAAAAATTTTGCAGCGGCTGACAGATTTCATAATTTTCTTTGACAGGTGACAATTAAACCATAGACAATTGCCATATGAAAAACACACTTTTCCAATATTTTTGTTTGCCATGAGATTCTGGTACACCTATAGACAGATCGTCTTTGCTTGTGTTAATTGCCTCAACTCTTGCTGAGCGACCTATAACCGAGACAAAACTGTTTCAGACAGCTGTAAATATTTCCGCTATATCCTTGAATATGATTATGATAATAATATGAATAGTTTCCACAGAAATTCCACCATAAACTCATCCCACGAAGCAATCAATTAGCCGGCACTTGCCAACACTATGGCCGACCTTGGCTTAACGGCCTACGGCAGACTTTCACTGTTTGAAAGCTATTTCTAGGTCTAGAAGATGCTTTGTATAATAAAGCAAGGTGCAGAAGAGCTACGATGCTGAATTACAAGATTTCATATTCATACCTCGTTGAGCCAGTTCTATTAATGATACGGTTGTAATATTTTGGTTGAGTGTCCAAAACTTTAAGTAAGCTATGGTCTTACTCATAAATGTTTCAAGTGCTACATACAACTTAGGTCAATTTCTATCCATTTCACTTTGGCTGTTATTTTATCTTGTCGCAGTTACATGGTGACCTCAATGGCAATGGCCTCCTCGTGGCAGTCTTTGGCACATTTGTCTGATTCTTGTCCCATTTTCTCTATTCTACTAATAATTAAATACAAAATAAGGTTTAGTTAAGGTTTTTAGATGTCAAGCTTTATTTGGGACGTATAGTACCCTGAAAAGGCCCTGTTTGCTATGCTGCAATTCAGTCGAACCAAGACTGCCGTTTTTACTTCACTTGTGTTGAGTTGTGCTTATACACCATCAGTTGAGGCCAGAAGGTCGCGTTCAACTCAACATAAACGTGTGAAGCGACTGCTATTGGGGACTTGAGACCTTTTTGGTTCTGGAATCCTCTTATAAAGGATTGGAATACTTTCAGGGACAGATTTTATAATAATTTTCTTGACTTTACGATAATTGATATCAACTAAATCCTCTTAAATTACGTAGCATATCAGTAAAATCTAGGTTGCTGATACAAATTACCGCGAATCTAAAGTCATATATCGTCTCTATTTACGACTCCTTTTCCTATTGGTAAAATATACGAGTATACAAGCAATTACTTTAGTATCTCATCCCTTGCGAGTACAATAATTAAAGTATCGTAAAGGCTTGCGTGCGTCCGCGCACTCGGAGATTGTAATTAAACCACCATTAAACCTTTGACTTTAATAGTCTATTTCAAAACGTTTTGATAACTAGAAGCTAATATTAAATTCACTTTCCTTTTTTATAATATTTCATCAAATTGTACCGTTTTACCATTTATTGGATCTGTTTTTATGATCCTGTGCGTACGCCGCTTACTTGTACCGTAGCTCTTTAATTAATGATTTAATTATGCGTGGAGAATTTTCTCGAGAATACTCGAAAGACCATTATTTTAATATCCTTTGCTCTGATTGTGAACACCGCTTCAGACCCAATTATTTTTCTCGTGCATTCACAGCTTTAGATTTTTACCAAAAAGATTATTACAAAGAGTATTTTCAATAAATTAGTGTTATAGGCTTATGACAGCCGTCATTCATAAATTATGTCAATTTTGACAAATCTTGTATTGATATTCATGTATAGATGACCCACGCTGAACTGTCCCACCAAACTCAATGACAGGGGGGCGCTACCATCGTTCAACTATATGGTTTCTAACATGGCAAAAATCTGAACCAGCGATCCGGTATTGACGGTGGCGCCCCACTGTCAATGTCATCGACAGGACAGTCCAGTATTTTGGAACTATAGTATTTTGTCGTAGTATTTTTATAAGTTTTATATTTTTGTTTAGACAAAAATTCACCATGTCTTCACAAAGCTTCATAGGTGAAGAGGTCGAAACTGAAATAGTGTTTGAAGCAGAAGTTGAGGTGAGCTCTGAGGAGCCTCCAATGGAAGAATGGTCTTCATACATCCTCGAACTCCCCGAAGAAAACGTGAAGAAGCTTTTGGCTGAAAAAGGGCTTTACCACGCGGGTAGTGGGGAGATATGTGGCAAATACATTGGTATGTCAGACAGTGCTATTTTTAGACATCTATATTACAACTACCCAGCTGTAGTAGATCCAGGTATAACAAGAGCGCTGTTCAGACCAGAAGACCCAATTATATACCCTGATGATGGCCAAGAATTGTATCTAGCGGTGTGTAAAGAAATGAATCAGTCTCCGGTAAAGATCTTTTCGAAGGGCTTAATGGAAGAAGTCATTGATTTAAAATACTACTGTGTAAATTCAGCGGGTGTGCGCCCTATGTCAATGGCCTTGACTTTTAACAGAAACGTAAGAGTTCTAAACCTTGCTGATAACTTCTTAAGCATAGACGCTTGCTATCATTTAGGCCAGATGCTGGCCAAAAATACCCATTTGGAAGAATTGAATATATCAGGTTGTCGAATTGGACCTGTAGGGGCTAAAAGACTCTTTGCTGGATTAGCAACGAATAAGACTCTTAAAATATTGAATTTGAATAGGAATCAACTGACTGATGCAGGGATGGAAAACCTTGCAACTGTTGTTTTTAAGGGAATTAATGTACAAAAAATATACTTAAGCTATAATAACATTGGTGGAAAAGGTGCCGGGGTATTGGCTGAAGCGATAGAAACATACAACAGATTTACTCACGTAGACTTATCCTGGAATAATCTTTACACTCCTCTCGGCACGTTCAATTTACTAAGTAGATTCTCTGAAAATAAAGTACTGCAAGAACTGAACTTGTCTTGGAATACATTATCCGGAGCTCGCCTCGGAACTGCTGTGAAAAATGCGCTCAGTGCTCCCAATCTTCGACATCTGAATCTCAGTAACAACAGGCTGAATGGGGAAGCGATCACGAATATAATTGGGGGCTTAAATAAAGCAAAAAAGTTAGTGACCCTCGACTTATCGTACAATCCAATGACACCAGGTGACGCTTTGCAAATACTGCTGAAAGTAAAGGCTCCAAATATTAAAGTACAGAAAATTCTTATGGAGAATGTGTTCGTCACCGGTGAGTTTTTACTGTATCTAAGTGCAATAAAGGAAACCAAATCAAAGAAGAACCTTGTTGTCACATATGGTGGAGTTATTGGTGCGTTCAAAGGAAAAGGACCAGACCCGAGAGAGTTGATATTGGACAGGGCGGAATTTTTAGCCAAGAAGCCTAAGAAACGGCCTGTTGATGTAGCTTTGGTGGCTATGCAGCTGCTCAAAGACAAAAATGAAATCATGCAGTCCAAGGATTTCACGTCTGCAATGCAAGCCTCAGGTGCACCGCTGGACAATGATCTGCTCGATGAAATGGCTAATATATTCGCTGGTCCTCGTTCTGCTAAAGCTAAAACGATTGATGTAAGGCTGCTAGTCGATTACATGAAAAGAAAATGGCCTGATAGAAAACTACCACCAACTCCTCCACCTGAACCCGAACCCATTCCAGAACCTGTTCCTGAACCTAAGGCTGAAAAGGGAAAAGGCAAAGGCAAAAAGAAGTGAAGCTTATTTTCAGAGATATTTATTTTAGTACAATTATTTTTTAAGGCGGTATTATTTTAGACTACGTTTTATTTTTAGATTTTATTCTGGTAAATAATTTATGGATACGCGTCTCCTTAGTTTTTATTTTATTTTAGTATTATTGTTATTGAAGTTTTAAGTTGTATAATGTTTACTTTTAATTTTGTTTAATAAATTATAATATTAACATTGTAGTTTCTTATCACCAAGCCAATAGATATAGAAAACTATTAAATCTGAGCATTTCAAGGTACTATTCATCGCAGTGAAGTACTTTACAAATACCCATACCAACCATAGGTTAGGAAAGGCAAGCCAAGGCATCACAAGCACAGAATAATAATAAGTACTACCAGTGGGTCTAGACAAAGTGCAAATTATAATCGCAAACCAGTCGAAAAGTGGTCGAAAAGCCCCTTTTTTGTATGGAGTTTTGACGGATTCGATTTTCGATTCGATCAAAAAGTGCGTTTTGTCTAGGGGGGCTGTGGTCCCACAAGGCATTATGTCCCCAAAGATACAATCATAATAAGTAGTGATTCCTCTTTATTCAATTCTTTCTTTCTCTATGTTCTTTCTAGACTAGATCTTTCAATATTAAAAAAAAATAGACAAATGTCAATCAATGCCAGCAATAGTGTTTTAGAAAAATATATTTTGAATTAATTAATTAAAAAACGCAGCATTATGTCCAGCGAACACTCGTTCATCAATGAGGCACCCGAGGTGGAAGTGGTCTTCGAAAAAGAAAGCCTTGATTCTTCAGTAGAGCCTCCCATGGAAGAATGGTCTTCTCTTCTCTTCGATGTGCGAGTACAAGAAAACGTCAAACGAGACAGGTATGCAGAGGGACTGTACGATCCAGGCAGTGGAGAAATATGCACCAAGTATGCAGCAATTTCTGCTAGCTCAGTCTTGAGACATGCCTACTTTAATTACCCAGGAGTCAAAGACCCAGGCATCAAGCAGGCTTTACTCCATCCTATCCCGCAAGTCATATATCCCGATGACGGTCAAGAACTATACACGGACATATGCAAAGAAATGAATATATGCCCAATAAGAAGTTTCCGTCGGCAACTCCTTGAAAATAAAATAGATCTGAAATATTATGGGATCAGCTTACTTGGGTTTCGACCAATAGCAATGGCATTAAAATTAAACAGAAACGTTACAGTTCTAGATTTAACTGATAACTGGATAAGTGTAGATGGCTGTTTCCACTTAGGCGAGATGCTAGTAGATAACGTAACTTTAAAAGAATTGAACTTAACAGGGTGCAGAATTGGCCCTGATGGCGCTAGATGTCTGTTACATAAACTTCATTTAAACCGCACGCTTCAAAGATTGAACCTATCCAAAAACCAGTTAGAAGATAAAGGCGTGGAGTACTTAGCCAGGTCTATCTTTAAGGGATCGGTCATCGCCGATGTTAATCTGAGTTTCAATAAATTGACTGGCAAATCCCCAGCAACACTCGCGGATTCTGTTGAGATAAACAACAAATTAACTCATCTAGACATGTCTTGGAATACCTTGCTGTCTCCAAACGCGATATTTCTGTTGTGCACACATCTTTCACAAAACGACATATTCGAGGAATTGAATTTATCTTGGAACTCATTGAGTGGTCAGCGCGTTGGAAATGCATTGAAAATGTTAATGAAAAATCCAAATCTACGTCGTTTGTATTTGTCGAATAATAGGTTGGAGGGGCCAGCAATAAAAGCAATCGGCGGAAATTTGCCCAAAGCTACTAAGCTTGAAGTGTTGGATTTATCTTACAATCCTATGACTCCCGATGACGCGTTAAAGTTATTGGCGTACATGAAAGAACGTAAAGTCAAGCTGCAACGACTGTTGATGGACAACGTATTTGTAAACGAGCAGTTCTTGGAAATGCTGCAAGAAGTGTCCAGATTGAAATTTCGCAAGAACGCCGTTATCAGCTGGGGTGGTTTGAGGACGAAGTTTGTATCTAAAGGCATCGACATGCGAGAGGTGCTTTTGAATAGAGCCAATTCTGTTTGCAAGGCGAAGAAGCAACCGGCAGATATAGCTTTGATTATTCTCGCAATGCATAAGGAGTGCAAAGATCCGTGGGACACTAAGGAGTTTCTACGTGCAGTCAGGAGAGGCGGTGCTCCCTTGGATGATGACTTGCTGTTGGAGATGTGCAATGTGTTTGCCGGGCCACGGTCGGCCAAGAGTCAGACGGTCAATATTTGCGGTCTAGTGGACTATATTCGGCGCAAGTGGCCTGACAGACAACTTCCCCCTACTCCCCCACCTGAACCAGAAATTATGACAAAGAAGGAAGAAAAGAAATGATATTTTTTATAATATTTAAGTATTTTTATAGTCTTTATACATAAGTTTAAGATTTTATTTAAGATAATATTTTTATTTTAGACCAATTTTAGTTGTACGATTTTTATTTAAGAATATTATTTTAAGTAGTTTGTATTTGTTATTTTAATTTAATACAATAATTTGTGGGATTTTTATTTAAGAACATTATTATTAGTAGATTGTATTTGTTATTTTAATTTAATAAACGAATTAATAAAACTTCGCTTTTTAATTTGAAAGTAGGTACTCAATAAAATGTTATTTTCTATTGTATTACATTTAATAGATAGCAAGCTTACAAAATTAAAAAAATTACAAAATTACAGTCTGATGAAACCTCTTTAGAGTTAGTGATTGTGAAATAAATCCTCTGTGTAGTTTTTACTCTACCAAAAATCTTGCATGTCACATTAATGTCAAAACCGTGGCTGTCAAATATCTACAAACTTCCGTTCAAACATCATACAATAGTTTTGTAACAGTATAACTTTTGCATTAGTATCTTTTAAAACACGACATCATGTCCAGCGAACATTCCTTTGTCCCAGCTCCAGTGGTGCAGGTAGTCTTCGAGAAAGACAGCCTTCCGTCTTCGGAGGAGCCTCCCATGGAAGAGTGGTCTTCCCTCCTCTTCGACGTGCGGGAACAAGTAAACGTCAAACGAGACAGGTATGCAGAGGGGCTCTACGACCCTGGCAGTGGGGAAATATGCACCAAGTACGCACCACTTTCTGCTAGCTCAGTCTTACGACACCCTTATTATAATTACCCTGGTGTTAAAGACCCAGGAATCAGAGAAGCTCTATTTCATCCCATCCCAAAAATCATATATCCCGACGATGGTCAAGAACTCTACATGGACACATGCAAAGAAATGAACCTATGCCCGATTAGAAGCTTCTGTCGTCAACTTCTTGAAGAAAAAGTAGATCTAAAGTACTACGGAATCGCTCCATCTGCGTTTCGCTCCATAGCTATGGCACTTAAGTTAAACAGAAACGTTCAAGTTCTAGATTTAACTGATAACTTCATAAGTATAGATGGGTGCTACCATTTAGGCGAAATGTTAGTAAATAACATAACTTTGAAAGAGCTAAATTTGACAGGATGCAGAATTGGCCCAGATGGAGCGAGATTTCTGCTGTACAACCTTCATTTGAACCGAACACTCAAAAAAATAAACTTATCCAGAAACCAGTTAGAAGATCGAGGTGTGGAGTATTTAGCCAGAGCTATTTTTAAGGGATCAGACATTGCAGATGTAAATCTGAGTTACAACAAGTTAACTGGCAACTCAGCGGCAATGCTGGCCGAGGTGATAGAGATTAATAATAAATTCACTCACCTAGATATGTCATGGAATTCTATGCTGTCCCCTAACGCGATATATACCTTGTGCGTCAGGCTCTCTCAAAATGATAAATTTGAGGTGCTCAATTTATCTTGGAATGCACTAAGTGGTCAGCGTGTTGGAAACGGAATAAAAGTACTAATGAAAAATCCAAATCTACGCAGTTTGAATTTGTCCAATAACAACTTAAAGGGATTGGCGATTAAAGCGATTGGAACGAATTTACCGAAAGCTGTCAAACTTGAAGTGTTAGATTTATCGTACAATACTATGACCCCTGATGATGCTGTCAGATTGTTGACATTCATGAAAGAACGTCAGGTCAAGCTGCAAAGGCTTTTGATGGATAACGTGATTGTTAATGAGCAGTTCCTGATAGTCCTAGATGAGGTGAAAAGATTAAAGTTTCGTAAAAACACCGTTATCACGTGGGGTGGGTTGCGGCCCACGTTCGTATCGAAAGGCATCGACATGCGAGAAATACTGTTTAACAGGGCTGATGCTATATGCCGCATGAAGAAGCAACCGGTAGATATAGCCTTGATTATCCTCGCTATGCATAAGGAGAGCAAAGATCCTTGGGCAACAAAGCAGTTCTTTAGATCTGTAAGAAGAGCTGGCGCTGTACTAGATGACGACTTGCTAGTAGAGATGTGTAATATCTTCGCCGGTCCTAAGGCGGAGAAGACAACGACTGTCAACATCAACGGCATAGTGGATTATCTTCGCCGCAAGTGGCCTGACAGGCAACTACCCCCCACTCCCCCTCCCGAACCAGAACCCGAAAAAAAGAAAAAGTTGAAAGGCAAAAAGTGATGAATTCCTTCATTATGTTTAATATCAAAATGTTTTTAGCTTTAATGTACATTAGTTTAAGACTAGATTTTATTTGAGATGTCTTTTAGTTGCGCGATTTTATTTTTAGGAGTCTAACTTGAGCTTAGGTAGTTTGTATTTGTCATTTTAATTTAATAAACAAAATATTGCACAGGCTCTGTTTTAATCTTGCATCATAAGGTCTCGTGTTCTACAATGGTCTAAAGGAGTGATTTAGATCGCCGACACAGAGCGGCGCTCTCTCACCGTGTCCATTGTCGTACGGTTCATAAACACAAATGCTAATATCTAGAAAGTCTTTCACGTTTCGTTGAGCTCATGTTCCTTAGCTTCAATACGAGTATGTATTACATCTATGACAATACTCATTAGTTGATTATTTGGTCTAGAGAGTAAGTAGACCTCATTGATCATCCAACATTGAGTCAATTTCAGTACTGGTACTTTGTCATCTGACCAAAAGGTATTATTAACATTCAGACACATACTAAACTTTTTTGAAATCTTTTTCCGTGTATCATTGGAGTCGCGCTCCCGGCGCGTTGCCGCGGGCAGCGCCGGCGCACAGTAGCGTGCAACACGCAAGCGAGCCCTGTCCGCTTTATTATTATATAATGCTTTCCAATAATCTCCGACTAGATAATATGTTCAACAATATAAAATGCTGCTGAACGACATTCTTACATGTTATAACGTAGATTTCAAGTGAGCTGTTACTCGGAAAGAAGATGTAAAGTGATGGCACAGATAAATGCGAGTCTATTTATAAGTGGGAAGGATAGTGCGGCTAGTTTATGGTCGAATCTTTGAGATATTACTTAATACATGTTTTAACTATCTCTGGGGTCTGTGATTTGAGTTCGGTTCTCTGCCGTGTCAGCTCTGGGTAGAGCTAAAGGAGCAGACGCTCTGGGCAATGACGTAAGACGTAAACTCGTAGGTTAAAAATATTTAAAACTAGGACACTAAACTGTTTTTCGGCGCCCCAAGACGATCTACATTTGATTAAAGGGCTGCCACAAGAAATGACTAAATGCTTCCGAGGAGGAAATATAAATCAACGTGATTTTTCTATAATAGGAATCCGTGCATTAGATTGTTCCATGGCACCATAAAGTAAGGTGTGAGCTTTCACAGAATCTAATAAGTATTGTACACGTTTAACTGCAAACGGAATATCACGTGTCATGTTTGGCCACGATCGTATGTTTCTTGAAATACTAGTTATAGTTTAAGCTACGGCTCGCAACAACCAACAAGCATTGGTGATTTTTAATAGCTCTAAAGACATCAACAATTATTGATATATCCTACAAATTGTTTCCTCCTTCGAAACTGACCATATTATTTCTATGATATTCCAAGTTATTTTGTTTTATAATAAATCCCATTATTGTTTCAGGTAACTTTCGCGTTAGGGCGTGGAAAGCGAGCGCGCCGGTCACGACGTATGAAAGTTAAGTGGTGCCGATGCGCGCGCAGGAAGGAAATATCCGCGATTCCATCATCTATCTGGAATTCTGGATCGTTATGAACTTGCGTAATAGCTTTTTGAAGCTAGAAGGTATGGCTTTTAAATTCCATACACTCCGAAGGGTATATGAGGTGGGTTCGATTCCCACCTTAGGCAATTCAATTTTTTCAAGTTATTTAAAATTTAGTTTGAGATGCGACTAGAAATTTTAATAACTGTGTAGGTATGTACTATGTACAGTAGGAATTATGTCTGTTTTGTATTTGCTGATACACTTCCTGATGGCCTACTTATTAGAAACTTATTTGACAGATAAACTACAACGTTAATTTTAGATAACTAATCTAAAACTATTAAGAACCGGTAAATTGGATCTTAATACCAAGTTAAGCTATGACAATATATTTAACTAATTATTATTACTAAGCTGGTTCCATATATGGGCATTAACGTCTCTGCTCTTACGCATACGCAACTAAATCACGATACCGCTAATTGGTCCCATTCAATTTACACAACACATTAACAGCATGTTTATTTGCCATATAAATAAACGTATATTGGCGTCTTTATTAGTATATAACGTAGACTTCCGCCCTCAAGTGGTTTAATTAAAAACTAAATTAAAAAGTTAATCGACCTCTTTGAGGTGTGGATAGAACCCGTAAATCAAGTGTGAACACGCCCTTATGCAATACTTTGTGCTCTTACTCGGCTCGTATTCATAAGCAGGTTCCAATGTTGAGATTGCGTAAGGTTTACTTAACAAAATAAAAAAAATGACTTAAAACTTCACTGAATTTCAACGGCATTAGACGTAAATTCTTTAGGCATATTTATTTTCACACAGTTTTCACCAACGTTCACACATTTCTCAATTGTTAGTATTTGCACTATCAACAAACATTTCTATTTAGTGAGCAAGTGCAAATTAATCTAAGTAAACATTAAAAGTAAAAGTTGAAACACTATGAATGTGTGCGCCTACGCAGCGGCTACTTGAAACACTTTCTACGTGTAGAGCAAGGTGTTGAGGGCATCCGATATCTGTGTGATAAAGAAGCCTCCATTCACACCTTCCATTACTGTCAGATAATGTGTTATTAAATCAATATTCCATGTTATTAAGTTAGAAAAACTACGCAATCTTCTCAGAGTAACGTTTTTAACTAAGACTGTTAACTGTGAAGTACCAGTTTTCGTAAATAATTGTACTCACGAGTTTCCAAGAACACGATAGGATAATACTCAACCGAACCATTAAATAACCGTATTACAAGCCCTTTTACATTTTAACATAACGATTTCGTACTTGGGGTCAAATTAAGTAAATTGTGTAACCAACCGAAAGTACGCGCACGATTTTCATTATAATAAATCATGGAGTGTAAGAAATAATTTAAAATGGACGCTTTAAAATTTTATGAGGACTCAGAGTAAATTCAGTTTCTTATCTCATTGATTTTTATAGTGGCCCAATAAGGGGCTTCAGTCCATTTACCAAAACGCTGCAGGGCCGCTACTTTTTTCGCTGAATATTTACAGAAATATGTAACTCTTTGTGGTCAGTTTTTAGCGGGAAATGTAAGCGAGTCGGAGACAGCGGGATGCGTTTATGAATACGCCCGATTGCTTTGGATTTTTCGTTGAGGTTTCTTGAATTTATTCATAATTATTCGATTTGTAATTTCAGTCAAGTGAGCCTTTAATACAGATCGTTTAGAGGTTCGGGAAATGCATGCGAGTCGGAGACAGCGGGAAGCGTTTATGAATACGCCAGATTGCTTTGGATTTTTGGTGGCGGTTTCTCATTCATTTATTCGATTTGTAGTTTGAGTCAAATATTTCAGATCGTATAGAGGTTATAATTCAAGCGCGTAAGCATAAAAATACATCACCAAAAGCATGCGCAGCAGTTTTACTTTGGAACTTGAAAGCTAAACAGTGTTGTGCCTTATGTAATAATGCGTTACTTCAAAATTATATTGTAATATGCCGTTGACTGTATCATTGCGCACGCGGCGAAAAACTGTGGGAGCATGTCACAACTTTCGATCTACAATCGAACACTGATCTTACAAACTGCTGTAAAAACTGTTTAGAGCGCAACAATAGGCAATTTAATGAAAAGTAAACGAGTATAAGTAGAATCATGTAGGTAGTCACACGCCAAGAGGAAAGTAACGGCCATTTTTAAATTCACGAAACAATTTTCATTTATCCATTGTATGGAAAAATGGTAACATACATTAGCCTAAAATCGTTTTAATGTATTGAATGCTCTTGTCACATAAAACACTGCTTTAAAAACTGGAACAACTAATTAGATAACCAAATACGATATTTTTAATTCACACCTACACGATCTAACGTAATCTACAAATCGAAAGTAAAATGTATCTCTGCGCAAGCGCCGATTTTTAAATTATAGCATTAAATCCGCGCGCGCAGGCTTTAACACTTCCGGTAGATCTGCAGCACTTTCGATAAATAGGGGCGGAGTTCTTACTGACTTCGGTAATACTACAGATTAAGTTAGTCTGTCAAATTACATTTAAGCTGTCACTTTCAAATCCTATTGTAGAATAACTTCTGTATGTTACCTTCTCACGCCTCTTTTCTCTTCACACTTAACTAATTATGAAAATGAAAGTGAGACCCAGAGAAAAACACAGGATAGCTTTTATCTTTATTTTGGAAGCAGGTCTATTTCCAAATTGAATCGTGTAAATCCCAGTCGTTTCCGCTACGATGCTTACGAGTATAATGAGGAGACAGAGGTAATGAGGGAGATGGTAATTCGACCTCGTTGGCGGCCATCATTCAACTGTGGGTTATACGGGGCGACATTGGGTGCGCGCGCGCAGCGTTTAGCGATATTGTCTTTACACAATCATGTGTTTTTTTTAAATTATTGACAGTTGTTTTCCCGAAAGCAGGCTTACAAAGAAAGTAAGGTTTAGTGAGAAACTTTTAAATTGAATCCAAACAGTTTTTAGACGTAATTTTTCTTCAATACCTAAATTAACATTGTTGATATCATTCCCTGTATCTAAGTAATAACTAATTCCCCTTACAGTGGGGGTTACTCCTTAAAACTTTTTCTTTTTCGAAGTATCTACCACCTCATACTTAAAATCCTGATACTGACAGAGGTAAATAATGACAGTAAATACAACAACATCAACATCCTCACAAATCAAAATGCAATATTGACGCATCGGGAACGCCCAAAAACTTCCTCCGTATGTTTTTACAGTCGTATTTGGGACACCTGCTTACCCACTGACTGACCTCTGCGCACTAGCTGTCCTTCTTTGGAGCAGCTCTATTATTTCACTGGAGGAAAAACTAACTGGCTGTGACATGATGAATTTATTAGTGCTTTGGTAGGGCTTGTTTGGACTTTAAGTTACGCAAAATATTGGTCCTATTTGAGTGTAGTAAAATTCCAAATAGGGCAATATGTACGGCAGCATGGTACATACGAATAGCAAAGCCAATT